GGGGGGCTCGTGATCAAATAAAAATAGAAAGTTGTGTTTTCAAAATTGGAGTTCAAGTTATTTTTCCTTCCAATAGTGTTAACATGCTGCACATGGACAAGATTTTTTTTTAATTTTCATTTTAAGGGGGCTAAAGCAGTTAATTAAAAGTAGTCTAACATAAATGCTGTAATTTGATTACTTTAATAAACATGTAACTTGGATGGATTGGATGCTGGCGTGACCACAGTGCACACGTCTGCTGTTGCTCACAGTGACAAAGGGACGCTCAGGGAGTTTGTGCGTTCGCTCAGACACGTGAAACCTTAGAGGGAACATTGGTCCTGCCTGAATGCGGCTTTGTTGTATTACCTGGTGTTAATACCACTATGCGGAGCTGCCTGGCTCGCTCTAGCTCCAGGTGGAAAGTGTGGTTTAAGGGGAGGGCCGAGCCTCGCAGCATCAGGAGGGCAGTCCTCGCTCTCGTCACCCCATCAATCTGTATCACCAGGAAGACTTCCTTACTGCCCTCTGACCTGAGACCGAACATCCAGAGAGACAGAGAGAATGACTGCTCCAAAACTGAACCTAACCCTCCAACAGGGGGCCCCCTTGAACACAACATTCACAAAAAAATGTTGTCAGTGGAGCCAGAAGTGACCAAGAGGGTGGATTAGTTTGTTAGACTGTACAGGTCTGTCCGGTGTATCTCATAGACACAGACGACCTGCTAATTAGTACTCAGTAACATCCAAGTAAATTCCTAAAACTGGAGCTCAGACTTCTTGTATGGTCTGCTGGTAACCCCAGCAGACATATTGTTGGTCAGATACCAGAGATCCAGGTTAGAAGAATGTTTTATATCAGACCTGTACTCAGACGATTTATACCCTATACAGTCATGAATTAGCTGCTGGTAAAACAGCCAGTCTGAGCTTTAGACTGTTGACCTGCAGTTCTCTTAATGTCCACTGGATGCTGCTGTGTTCAGATTCTGTGTTGAAGTGAATTAAAGGCTTGAAGGTATGTTTATACCTGCTGGTCTTCATCTCCTCCAGCCCCAGCAAGTGGACAGTCAGTAAACCCGTCACCCGTTGGCTGCATCTCGGTGGGTCGGAGCCCACGTACAGCTGGAATGAGCTGACGTCACAGGGCCCATCCTGGGTGATCACGTGTTGAGAGGGCTGCTGTCGTGGCAGTAGTTCAGGGGAGTCCCCGTCACTAAGATACCCTGACAGGAAGACACACATGTTCTATTATAGTAGTTTTTCACTGGATTTCACTTAGAGGCTGAGACTCCCCACGCTTTATTGAAAATGGATGAAGATGGAATCCATGACCTTAATGTGGTTCTGGCAAGGTCAGAAATATCAGGAAGATACACAGATTTCTGTGAAATACAGTCACAGACGCTTTGTATTTACTGTGTACTCATTCTCACTATCGGTTTACTCCTGAATCCTGCCCAGAGCCATGAAAGTTCCTGCTCTACATCTGAGCTAACCGCTTCTCCCCCACGAGCGGTTTACCTCCTTTACTGGCTGAGCATCCTCTTGATGACCGTCGCTGTGGTCGGGCTGGAGAGGTGGAGCTGTCCAGATGATACTTGCTGATCACGTTCTGGTTGGAGAGCGCCAATAATGATGCCGTGCTCTTACCAGCCGACTCCTCTCCGCTTCCTCTATTGTCATTTGTTTGCCGATGGGCCCGAGAAGATGAGCGGAGGCTGAGTTTCCGGCGCAGCTCGGGAAGTTTCTTCATCTTTAGAGAGAGTTTTCTTACCGTACCAGGAGACCTCAACCTGTCAATCATACTTCCTGACACACCCCCTTTCTTTTGGGAGGCGGGACTAGAGTCTGGAGGAGAGTCTGAAGCAGGGTGAGATGAAGAACGCCAATGAAGACAAAACCTGACCAATGTGGTGACAACAGGTGAAACAGGAAGTCTTACCTGTATTTTCTGCTTTGATGTCATCGATATGGTGACTGACACTTGGATTGGGGAGGCTGGAGCACTGAAAGTCCTCCAGTGGACTGGCACTGCTACAACCTCCGCCAATGTCTGTTCCAGCACTAGGCTCATCTTTTTTTGCCCTCCGCTTCCATACATCCTCGTCCCGGCGTAGACCTCCTAAGTCCTCCTCCTCGGGGATCGGGTTGTACCAGATGTTGCTGCCACTGTCCTCCTGAGGGTCGCACACTTCATCTGCAGTCTTTCCTGAAGAAAGCACCCAGGCTCGGCTGCTGCGATCCAGGCTCTGCAGGTAGGCGCGCTGGCCAGACAGCTTGGCACTGACGGAGGTGGAGGGAGATTCAGCGGGGTCCCCTGCTTGGTAGTAGGATTCCTGTTGCATTGTTGTGCTAACACAGGACGCACTGGTCTTATCCCAGGCCAGACTGGTGCACATCCTGTCACCACACTGCTGCATCTGCAAACCATGACAATAACGATTGGACACATCACTGAAGGGAGAGAAGAGATAGAGTGAGGAGTCAAACCACCATCAGATCCAGGAGGAGGTGTCCATCTACCAGCAGCACAATCTCTGTCCAACAACCTTGCAACTGTTATTTCTGGGAAGTGCACATATTTCTCTGTTTTCCCTGTTAAAAATCCATGCCTAACACAAATAAGTGCATGCACTGTATTGTTTTAATACGTGGGAACGTATTAATGAAGGCACCTGAATTGAGACATAGGAAAGGGTTCAATAAGCTGCAGCAGAACAAGAACAAGGGACCCAACCACCATGGACATCGTAGCTGGAGGAATACTAGGAGGAGAACATAGATAGAGAACTACCAGGAGGACAAAGACTAAGGATTACCAGGAGAAGAACAATGATTAAGGTTTAGCAGTGGAAGTAGAAAGACTAAAGATTACTAGGAAGATAAAGCCCAATTATTAGCAGGACAAGAACAAAGCGGACAGAACAAAAACTGAAGCAGCAGTAAAGGTCTGACTATTAGCAAAAGAAGGGACAAAGGAGAATAGCAGTGTGAAGGCTCGATCATATAGATAGTGTGCTATTACCTTGTCTTGCACCAGCCTATGGCTCAAGGCCTGCCCAGATGCATCCTGAGATATCCCTGTGGGTCTCTCCTGGTCTGAGAGTGTGATGGTGGAGCTTGAGGTCAAGAAGGTGGGTGGAGCTGCAGAGCCCTGACGCGCCCACTGCTGTTTCTTCGCCACTGTGATATGGTTTCGAGGAGGCGATGGGGGGTCGGGGTCTGTAAGTGTTGGCGACGATGGTGAGGAAGAGGACTGGAAGACATTGTCGGGCCGGACTGGAGCCTCTGTAGTAAACAAACAGCTATTATTATGGGCTGGATCAGTACGTTTGGCGCTATCAAAGTGGTGAGGTGGAGTTTGATCTGCACACACTGGTCCAGATCAGATGATAGGAAGCAAAACGGGTTTTTCCACATGTGGTTGCCCCTCCCTGAGCCTGGTTATGCCGGAGGTTTCTTCCTGTTACAAGTTTTTCTTTCGCACTGTTGCTAAGACAGTTGCTCGCCTGCTCTTGTCTCATGGTTGTGTCAGATTATCCAGCATTTTTTAGAGTTTTGGTTTGTAGAAATATTTTGTTTTGATTCCTGGTTGCCTTGCTTTGCATATTATTATTGTATTTGGTCATTAATGTATCTGTGTCGTCCTCATTTAGTGAGCTCACTTCTCTTTTGCTTTGAGAGTTAGTGTTCCTCGTGCTTTGATTTTAGTCCTCTGTGATTTGGTTCAGCTGTGTCTCCATCTGCACAGCTGTCTCCACTTGGTTACCCTCCTGTCACTGTCCTTCAACAGAACATTTGTTCCCCTTACCCCAGTGTTCTGCTAGCGTTTCCTCTGGTTTTGGACTTTATGATTTACCTTTGGGATTTCCTGCATTCACTGCAGAGTTCAACTTTGTCTGTCTTCATGACTCCTCTGACTCTCGCATGGTATGCAACACCTACAGCCTTCTGACATGTTGGAGTTTCTCTGTAATATTACAGGGTTTTTACTTTGACATATAAAGCGCTCTCAGCTGACCTTTGTTTTGATTTGAAGCTGAATAAATAAAATGAAGTTTAGCGCAGCAGGCTCTGACTGAAGGTCTGATTTCCTATTGATGGTCATATGATCAGCTGTTGCTGTGAAGGACAGTGGAACGTTTCTCTGTCACATCCTATACATGTAGATTACTGTTCCAGCCCTCAGCGCAGACCCTGTGTGTGTGTGTGTGTGTGTGTGTGTGTGTGTGTGTGTGTGTGTGTGTGTG